TGTTCCTGTTTGGGGTTTTATGCATCAAAGCCTCATCCTATAGCTCTCAGAACGTGACAGAAATATTATGGCCTGTTCATAATTAGTAGTTGTTAAGGCTTTACTTGCGTTCTGCTCAACTATGGCCGGCATCAGGTCATTGCTACAATCAACTGGCAGTGGTAGCATATTTTTCGGTGAGTTATCTGTGTCTTCTGCAGGAATGCTAGGCTTTTAGACTTATTTTTGCATGCCTTGCCGCCAATTTCCTTTGTCATAGGGCAGGGTTCTTTCTGCACTGCGATTTATAATTCTCCTAGTGCACCCATTAGTTATTAGCTATTTGGATTGTTTTGTTGCCACGCACTAGCAGTTGTATGAATCGCAAAATTGAAAAAGAAAGAATTTTCTTTGGGATAATCTGTTCACTGTTATTTTTGTCTGTAGATTCCAGTAGAAACTATTGCATCCTTTTCACCGAAATTGTGAAAGCTGAATTTGCAATCTTAGCGATTCAATTTCCAATTTGATATGAAGGCTGCAAAAGGATGATTTTTGAACATTGATTTTCTCAATAATGTCTGTTGCATGATTTGCTTCATATATTTTAGCTGTTGCTGCCGAGCGAAGTGTTCGTTTTACAGAAAAGTGCTTTCAAGCGGGTCTGACGGGAACAAGTAGTTCGTTTTTGTGACTGATCCCATCAGTGGGAATGTGATAATGTCTTGTACCGTTACGGGTTGACTAATTGAAGTCAGAGTCAAGAATGCGTCGCGGAACCATCCTTTTAGCATGATTTTCATCCCATGAATTCTCTCGTAAATTATACATATCCCAACTTTCGAAATGAAGTTTACGAGCATTACTGTTCCCTAATATTCGTCGATTCCTTAGTTGAAACGATTTAGTGCCGATTTCTTAAATTCGATCCTCCCCAGCTGCCGTAAAGCCCATTGGAATAAAGATTCCGCGACACAGCTTGACCCTGGGTTGGTGTAGCTGTTTCCGAACGCAACGAGAAGTATATGTGGTGATAAAAGGGCGCTTCTCAGTCGATTACCACCAAGGGTATAGGTCTTTGTCAGTTTTCACAGCACTTACACGCCCACTACTCTGTGGCTGTACTTTTAAATCATCAGTAAACACACGTCCTCCCTCAACGCTCTCCAGTCCTGAGCGTTTCTCGATTGTTCACTAATTTGTTCTTCATTAGTGGGATGGCATGGGGTGGAACATTTGTTTTAATGGATGACTTTTTCAAATGAAGGAATGAAGGCAGATTTTAATGTAATTAAGCTTGTTCCACTTACCAATCCTCCCAAATTATCGCCCAATGCCAGTTTGTTAGAAAATTTCCTGCTTGCATAGGTATTTTTCCCATTCCATCGTGCGGGGGCTCTTTAATGAAACAGCGGCGAAATTTCCGTGGGTCTAAATTCTCATCGTAATTCCTAGAGTACTTCATGTTGAGGAAGAGGTGAAGACATTAACGTCAAGCGATCCCGTCTGAGGTATGCTCTCAGCATTCGAATCCCATTCAGGGCCGCAGATGCGGTATGAGGCCTATACAATGACTAGCGATGGCCAACCGTGTGCAGTCAGTGCTTTGTCTCTCCCATACGTGTCTGTTACCAACTGATGACCTCGGAGCGGAGGGAAGGAAAGCCTGGATGGCCTAGGCGGATATCGATCCAAGATTTGAAGCATTGACGATGCTTGAGAGATAGTGTGCCACTTGCACCAACACCACCTCAAGCCTACTCTTCTATACTAATGCTGGTAGTGAACGTCGAAAAATCTCACCTATTGGCTGCTCACAACTAGTCGATGCAATGTTGAGATCGCAGCTGTACGGTAGTCCATTGGTGCCCTTTTAATCATCAAATATTTAATTATTATTGCGATTGGAATCGGCTACTAATGAAATAATATTGTTATGAGAAATTTTATATGTTCAGCGGTTTCGCTTCCCTTAGAAAGAGCGCGTTTGAAGTGCAATAATAAAGAAGTAGAAAAGTTTTTGATTGTAATTACTAGATAGTGGAAGTAAATAGAAGCGATAACATATATGGCGATATGCAAAGTGAAGCCGTGTGTTCTAGATGCTCTACCGAAGCAGACGGCGCGCTCGCAACACACCGCTCGAGATACTCTCCAACAAAAGACAGGTCTTTCACATCATCAATCCATCCATGCTTATCCTCCAACTTATTCAGTCGTCGCCCTTGGTTATATTTTAATAACAAATAAAAAGAAATCAACGGGGACCGGTGAATGAGATACTTGACTAACA